TCCCTCGGGGGTCTGGTTCCCCGGGCCCTGCAGCAGATGATGGGTGTAATTAGTCAGAAGCGGTCAGGCAGAGGACCCGTCCCCCTGAGAACAGGCCCACGCCATTTTTCACCTGGGTCCCTGAGAGCTGATGGTGGGGAGAGGCCTAAGGGCTGGGGATGGTGAAGGCCCAGTTCTAAAAAAATCAAGAGGGGCGCCTGGATGGCTCAGTCGGTTAAGCATCCGACTCTTGATTTGGGCTCAGGTCGTGATCTCAGGACCGTGAGATCAAGCCCCAAGTCGGGCTCCTCAATGAGCATGGAGCCTGCCTAGGACTCTCTCTCTCCCTCTCTCTCTGCCCGATACCCCCACCTCATGTACAAGCATGCGCTGTCTCTCTCTATATGTATAAATAAATAAACTTAAAAAAATAATAATAATAAGGGGCCCCTGGGTGGCTCAATAGGTTAAGCGTCCGACTTCAGCTCAGATCATGATCTCACAGTCAGGTCTGCCATTCCACGCCGGGTTTCCTGTGCTGACGGCTCAGACCCTGAGCTGCTTCTCTCGGATTCTGTGTGTGCTCCCTCTCTCTGCCCCCTCCTGTTTACAGAATTTGTCTCTCTCCTCTCTCTCTCTCTCAAAAATAAATAAAACATTAGGGGCGCCTGGGTGGCAGTCGGTTAAGCGTCCGACTTCAGCCAGGTCACGATCCTCTGCTGTCCTGTGGAGTTCAGCTGAGCTCCGCTGCTGGTTTGGGCTGATGGCTCAGAGCCTGGAGCCTGTTTCCGATTCCCAGGTCTCCTCTCTCTCTCTCTGCCCCTCCCCCGTTCATGCTCTGTCTCTCTCTGTCCCAAAAATAAATAAACGTTGAAAAAAAATTAAAAATAAATAAATAAATAAATAAATAAATAAATAAATAAAACATTAAAAGAAAGGACACTATATTTCAGTGAACTTTCCTGGATGACTTCTATACTGTGGTTTAAAACCACCAGTGATCAAGGTCTTATGATGTGCCACAAAGTGCTCCCCTTTTTCTAAACAGCCCCGGTCCATTACATCCTTTGAGTCTCTGTTTCTGCTTTTTCGCTGTTGGTTTGTTTTCTTGTGTCCAGTCAACAATCTGTAGCAGACCAGGTGTTTCAGTCAGATATCGCTGAGGGACAACCCAAGCTCAAAACCTAGTGGCTTCAGACAACAAGCATTTACTACTGCTCACGTGTTCATGCGCCAGCTGGCCCTGTTGGGCTCGTGCTTGTGTCTGTGTGCGGCCGTGGACTGGGTAGGCAGCTCTGTGACCTTGGCTGGGCTCTCAGATGTTCGGCTTCAGCTGGTTTAGGATGACCTCAGCTGGGACAACCGGGCTCTCCTTCATGGGTTCTCTCATCCTCCAGCTACTTTGACCTTGTTCACATGGGAATAGTAGGGTTCCGCGAGAGAGAGCGGAAGCAAGCGAAGCCTCTTGAGGCTTGGAACTGGCACTCTGTCACTTCTGCTGTATTTTCCTGGCTACCACATGTCACAAGCCCAGCCCAAATTCCAGGGCTGGAGAAATAAGACTCTTTTTAAATTGATCTACTATACCAGGAAACCAAATGACCAAGCTCCTTAGCCTTGATTCTAAAGCAGGAGTAAAGAGTCTTTTCTGAGAGATGGGCTCTCCCGAATTCAGGTGATGAGCCTTGAGGAACAGGGTTTGTGTCATTGTAGACTCTGCTCAGAGCCCCTTTTGGTCACATATCTCACCTATGATCCCTCAGTGGTTGAAGGTGCCAAGTAAATGAGGTCTTACTGTCCTTTGCCAGAATCCTCAAGGGAGCCCCTATTTTATTCACCCAAGCCTTACGGCCGGCACTTGACAAACCGATTTGGGAATGCAAAACTCCATACATTTTAATTCCAAGTTGTCTGTGTTTCTTAGGGTTTCCCCAGAGACGTCCCCTCACTCACAGTGGCACTGAGTTTGGCCAGGCACTGCAGGAACCACACCACCCTGCCCCACACAGAGAGATCGACTTGTCTCATCTTGTATCTGCTCGTGTGCTTGGCTGTCCTTGCCCTATCCCTGGGAGCCATTTGTGCAGCACAGCTGACTGCTGGATTGATTTTCTACCATCATCTTGCTTGCCCAT